GGCTCGCCTACCGCGCGGGGAGGCAGCACTCACGTCTCGTGAGCAGGATGCCCCCACTGGGCTCCTTTGGTTTCAGTACCTGTTTGAGGACGTCCCCTCCTCCCAAATGTGCCACAGTGAACAGGTGTGACTGTCAGCTCTGTCACCCTGAGCCAGGACTCAGCTCTGAGGAAATCTAAGCGACATTTTAAGTGTCATTGTTGACTGAGTGTGTCAGATGGTTGAACAACCAAGCGATCGTATTGAAAGTGAGAGGAAAAAGGCGGACGGTTGGGTGAGTCCGCTCAGCACATGCCAACTGAGCCCTGTGCTCCGTGGCGCCAGAGCAGCCCCGCCCTCCCAGGGCCACTCCTGCCCTGGACGCCGCCGATCACGAACACAAGTTTTGGGGACACAAGTGCCGGCCTGCAGCCAGTTGCGGGAGCGGAGCCCCAGGGGGAGGCGGGCCGTGGCGGCCTTGGAGACGTCTGGAAGGCACCTGAGCTGCACATGCGACCCCGGTGGACTGCGTGGAGATTAGACTGCGGGACGAGGGCAGAGGCAGACACCAGCGAGATGGGAGCATGGGTGGGAAGAGGGCTCAGGCTCTGGAATATTCTGAAAATGTGACAGCTGGCCTGTGACGGTTTGTCGCGAGGGCTCTGGGTCTGAGCCGCGACACCCGTGACACCAGGACACATGGGGCCTGGGGGACCAAAGGCGGGGTCTCAGCTGTAGGTTTTGCGTTTGAGACGCCTCCTGGCGCGGAGATGTCTGCCCTGTGAGGACAGACCCCGCCCCCCCCCCCCGCCAGTGCTGGTCGCGGCCCACCCTGCATTTTGTTGTCACTGTTTCCAAAGAAAGTGCAGGTCTTGTCCTCGAACTCAGAGAGGCTATCTCCGACTTGGTCCGCCGTGGACTGAGGCTTGTAATGACAGAAATTGGGGCGTGCAGTGAACTAGGCTTGGGACCGCGTCTCCAGCCCAGGACACCACATAGAAGTGTGTGCTCTGCCCCCAGCCCGGCTCTCAGGTCTCCCTGCTCCAAACTGGACGAGCTGTGCGGTGGACCTGGGCCACGGAACCGGGATGGGTGGAGGCAGCTGTGGCGCAGCAGGGCCGAGGGTCTGCAAGCGGGAAGAGCAGGGGCTGAGAGCTGAGGGAGGGTGGGCACCCAGGGCGAGTGTGGCCAGCAAGGCCTGTGTCCCTGAACCCGTGGAGGGCGCCTTGGGAGACTCGAGCACCATGTACAACATGGCAGACGAGTCAGATCATGATGTGCCCAGAACAAAACCTGGACTGCCATCCTGCTTGGGTTTCTTTGTCCTTGTTTTGAGAGAAAGTGGGTTCAGGACGGTGTTGCAGTTGGGGACTGAGAGCTCACAGGCCCCGGCCTCCAGCAGCGCTGACCCTCACCCTGGGCCAGATCCCAGCCCCACCTGCCTGTGGGCCGAGTGTGGGCCGGGCCCCGGGGTGCAGTGGGAGCAGCCTGCCGCCAGACTAACCGTCTCCCGTTGGTGTCCCCAGGTCTGGATGCCAGCGCCCCGGCCAGCACTCATGAGCTCACCATTCCCAATGATGTGAGTGTGCCCAGGCCCTCGCCCCTCCCCAACCCCACGTGTGCCCCTCCCCCTTCCCTCGTTAAGCAATGACGCCACATCCCCAAGATACCAGGCAAAGAGGGAGCCGGTGGAGGCTTCAGGGTTTACTTGGAATTCAGGTGCCAGAGCTGCCTGGGAAGCCAGGGTGCCCTGCTGACCCCGAGTGAAGGCCCTGCCCTGGTTCGGGGTCAGCCCTTGAGAACAGATGGCCAGGGAGTATGCTGTGTGTCAGGCCCTCCAGAGGGTTTGGGGTTCCTCCAGCAGCCGGTTTGTCTGGGTTTGTGTGTCTAAGGCTGTGGTCTCTTCCTCCTGAGGCTCAGCGAGAGTGTGTCCTTACGAGCTCCCCTCACATGCTGGGGCCTTTCCCAGCCGGCCTCTGAATCCTTGGATTGTCCCAAGAAGGCTGACTTCCACCCCCAAACCAAGACGCCAGGCCGGGAGTGGGCCACCTGTCCTGGAGGGGCAGCCGTGTGTGGGGTGTGGTGATGGCTGGGGACTTGTGCAGTTCACAGGTCCACTCAAACAAACATCGCTCCAGCCTGAGGGCACAGCCAAGGAGGCACCCACATGGCCTCGGGGCCCCCAGAGGACACTGGGTAAGGCGACCGCGGTCTCTTGATTTGTCAGGACTTCTCACGGCTGGGGGTCCAGCAGAGCCCCGGGGCCCACAGCTCCCCTCTGCAGCAGGAAGGAGGGTGTGCGGTGCCTCTTCCCTCTGGAGACTGTTGTGAGGAGACCAAGGCAGGCCTGTCTGTCCAGCTTCCCTGTCCCTCCAGCCCCGCACACACTGCGCACGAGCCCCCTGAACTCTCCTCTGAGAAGCTCCTCTGTCCTTCTAGCTAATAGGCTGCATAATTGGACGCCAAGGGACCAAAATCAATGAAATTCGACAGATGTCTGGAGCTCAGATCAAAATTGCCAATGCCACGGAGGGGTCGTCAGAGCGCCAGATCACCATCACAGGGACCCCGGCCAACATCAGCCTCGCCCAGTACCTCATCAATGCCAGGTGAGTGCCGTGGGGCCTGCCAGCGGGACGGGTCACGGGACGCTCGGAGGGCCGAGAATCTGGACAGGCCAGTCAGTCCTGCCCCCGGGAGGTTCCGTCTCCCGGCTGGGGGTTGGGGTGGACGTGATGGGGAGAGTCTCCAGGTGGACACGGCCCACACCCTCCTCTGCACTTTTGCACTTGACCTTTCACCCACCAGTGAGAGCATTTACAGGGCAGTGGTGCCTACAAGGCCCCAGACAAGTCGCCAGGCGTTGGCACCTTTAGGTGGCCCTGGACTTGTCCAGAGAAGTGTCTGAGGCTAAGCCTCTCACCCTCAGGCCTCATCCCCACGGGCCCGTGTCCTGCCTTGTCCCTTGTGCAGAATGGGGGGCAGGGCGGGGGCGGGCCCTGTGTCGACACTGCTGGGCTTGGTGCACACCTGCCTCGTGGCCGGACTGCCAGCTCCAGCTGACATCTGAGGCACACCCGGGGGCCCTGGGGTGTTGAACTAGACTGGCCTCACTGGCCTTCCCCCTGTCGTCTTGCTGGGGCTGCTGGCCTTCTGCCCCCAGTACCGCCACCCCCCGAGGCAGCATCCGCCTGGGAGCTGGCCCTGTGAGGCCCCTGCCCCCGAGGGCAAGCTGAGGGTGTCACCCTGCCTGCACCTGCCCGTGCCTCACCACATGCATCCTCTCCTTGGTCGGGTCCTGGTCTGGGCTCAGCCACACACTGGGGTTAATGGAAAAGCAGCAAAAAGGGTTGTGTGGCTTCAGGGACAGGCCACTGGAGCCCCCTGCTCTCACGCCTCTGTGATCTAAGGGCCCCACCCAGACGCTTGCTGGGCATGTGGCAGGGAGCTGGGCAAGGGCCTGAGGTTACACCTCTAGGGGAGGGTGAGGTCCTGCGGAGCCAGCGAAGCTGCCGGGCGCCTCACCTGCCGTCCCTGCCAGGGCCAGGGCGAGAACCCGGCCACCACAGCCGGGCCGTCCCCTCCCTAACCCGGAACATCCAGCTGCCCCGTGGGCAGTGTGACTCCTGCGCCCCCTTCCAGCAGTTGCCATAGAAACGGCTGTCAGCACGCCCCTGTGGCAGGCATGTGGCTCCTGTGGCAGGGAAGTAAGGCCCCGTGGGTCTGGCCCCAGATCCCCAGCTCGGGGGGGAGCCGGGCTGGGAGGACGCGGTGACCTGTGTCCCCCGTGCCTTTGTCTCTTCCAGGCTGACGTCCGAGGTCACTGGGATGGGTGCACTGTAATCCCGCCGGTCCTCCGCCCGCCCGCTCACGACTCTGTACAGACTGCCCCTCCTTGCAAATATAAAGAGGTTTCTTTACTAAGAAGTATCTCTGCCCTGGAGCTCCACCGGCAGCGCAGGTCCGTCCGTCCGTCCGTCCGTCTGTGTGCGCTCCGGACCCTGACGCTGCCGCCCGGCTCACCCTCGCCGGCCCCTCGCGCATCGGCATGCAGTGTAGTGCTTCTCCGTGCTTCGGGGCACTCCCAGCTGTGACGTCTTAGAAACCTTGTTCCTTAGTGTCCGTGTAACTGTTTTAAAAGTAGGTTTGGCGCTTTGGCGGCCCTTCTGCCGCATCCCCTCCTCGGCCACCTGGAGCCACAGCTGCTTTGGGTGGCCCTCTCCCTGCCTCCGCCTGTGCCGACCCGGCTCCCTCCCCTGTGGTCTGCGCTGGGCAGGTGTGCCCTGCCTTTGTTCAGAGGGAAGGAGGAGGGGGTGGGGTCCTGACCCGAGGTGCAGGGTGGAGTGGGGGTGCCGGCAGCCACTTCCCGGGGCGGAGCGCGGACCGGCCGGGGCGCCTCGGCGGGCGCTGCTCCGAGTTCAATAAATGTGGTTCGCTGCCCTCACCGGCTCGGCTCCTCTCTGTGCCCCGCGGCCCGCACGTGCCCGCCCGTGGCCCTGAGGCCGGCCTGGGCCGCCAGCTGTCTGAGGGGCGGCTCTTCCTCCCTCTGCCACCGGTTAACGTCCGATCTGCACGAGTCTTTCTGGTTTTACTTTTACAAACGTACTTGAAGCGACAGGAAGAGGACGCCAGGCCCAGAGTCCGGCCACCTCCAAGGGCGCAGCCCCGCGCCTCCCAGCGGGAGCCTGTGCACGCCCGGCTCGTCTGTGCTGACCTGGGGGGCCCCACTGCACCCTTCTCGACACGGAAGCCCTTGGGGGACCCAGGTCCCGCCTCTCTGTGTGGGCCCCTCTCAAGTCAGATCTGGGGTTCAGGGGACTCTCCAGTAGGTAGGTGGGCCTGGGACATGTGGTCGGGCCAGAGCTCCAGCAGTGGGCACTGTCCTCCCTGCGTCACTGAGAGGACAGCCTGGCCCAGACCCCGTCACGCATCGGTGGCCCGGGGATGCTGCCCACAATGCTTGTCTCCTGTGTGCCTGGTGTGGACGCTGCCCCGCTCCCAGACTCCGGCCAGGTGCTCGTCCTGTGTGCTCAAGCTGCCCAGACACTCCCCCGTCGCCCTCCCAGGAGTTTCCTGGTCAAGGTTGGGTGCCCAGCACAGCAGCGCCCGGCCACACCGCAAGCCCAGCAGTCTAGAGCTGTGGTTCTCTCATGAACCCACTGGACATGTTGGCTGGATGCTGGCCACTGCTCAGGGCCAGGGAGGTGGCAGGGACGAGGTGGACACAAGCCTTCCTCCATCAGTGTCAGGGCTGGGCTGGCCAGGAGACGGGATGAGGAAAGCCCTAGAAATTGAGAGTTGTTCTGGGTAAAGCCAACCACGCGGAGGTTGTGGGGTGCTCAGTATTCAAGGTGGGGCCCCAGAAGCTGCAGGTGGAGGTGGGCCTGATGTGGGGCCCTGGCTGTGCACGTCCAGGAAAGGAGGCGGGGGCAGCCGGAGCCAGTGTGGACGGCAGCAGGAGTGCCGGGCAGCCCCTGGGGAGCCCCCTGGAGGTGGCAGTAGTGGAAGGTGGGACTCAGGCCAGGTGCACTGGGTCCTGGAGGCACTTTGAAGAACGAACAGGATTCCCAACAGATCAGAAATATGCTGTGAAGGAAAGAGGACCCAGGCCACGTGAATGAAGGCTCCTGGTCTGAGGCTGGAAGGGTGATTTGTCCTCCGTGAGCGCGGAGGCTGCAGGTGGGAGGTTGGGGGCTGTGGACGGGAGCTCAGTTTGGGACACGAGGACTTGAGACATGCTGCCCCCGCCCCTGTGGAGACGTGCACTCTGAGGTCAGTGAGCGGACCGCAGTCCAGGCGGAAGCAGCAGGCCAGGAGGGGCGTCCACGCAGGACCCCCCAGGAGCCGGGGAGAGGGCGCCTCAGGCGGGGCCAGGGAGGGGTCCAGGCGAGGTGCTCATGTCACCTGTCCAGACGACGCCTGGCACCCCGAGGAGCTGCCTCACACTCCACATCCCCAGATGAGCCGGCTACGAACACTCGTGCACCAGCCTCTGCTGGAAGGACGCTTCGGCTCTCAAGTAGACACCAGGAGTGGGCTCGTGTGACAGGAGTATGTTTAACTTCTTAAGAAGCTGCTACGCTGTTTTCTAAAGTGGTCTGACCATTTCACGTTCTCTCCACATCGCGGGGAGAGCCCAGTTACCCACATCCTCCGCGGCGTGCAGTGCGCTGTCTTGTCAGTTTCGGGCCCCCTCGTGGCTGGAGTGCCGTCTCACTGGTTTTAACCCGCGTCTCCCTCATGACCAATGATGTGGAGCGTCTTTCACGTGCTGGTGTGCCACCCACACCTTCTTCGCTGGGTGTTTGTTCAGATCTTTTCCCCGTTTCTTAATTCGGTTCTCCTCTGATTGGGTTTCAAGGCCCTCTTCGTGGCCAGGACGTGTGATGTCCTTCTCGTGTATTCCCCTCCAGTCTGTGGCTCGTCTTGTCAGTCTCTCGGTGATGTCTTCTGAAGAACAAAAGTTCTTCCTTTTGATGAAGTCCAAATTATCAGCTTGTTCTCTTATGGACTGTGCTTTTAGTGTCACATCTAAGACATCTTTGACTACCCCGAAGTCATAAAGATGTTCTCATATGGTTCCTTCAAGAAGTTTTGTCATTTTGTTTCCATGCTGAATTGCCTTTGCACCTTTATCAAAAATCAGCTCTCCCTGTACGTGGGGCTTTATTTCTGGGCTCTCTGTTCTGTTCATTGATCTATTTGTCTGTCTTTATGCCAATACCACACTGTTTTGACGACTGTAACCTTATAATATGCTTTAAAACTAGGAAGTATTTGTTCTCCAACATTGTTCTTCTTTTTCAAAATTGCTTTGACTATTATAGGTCCTTTTTCATTTCTATATGAATTTTAGAATCAGCTGGTAATTTTCCAAAAAAAAAGTGTGCTAGATTTGATTGAGATGGTGTGGAATCTGTCTTTTAATTTTCTTAATTTGAAGATAGTTGACAGGTTAACAATATGGAGTCATCTGATCCATGACCAAGGTGTATCTCTGCATTTATTTCTGCTTAATTTTTCTCAGCAATGTTTCACAGTTTTCAGCATCCAGGTTTACAAGTCTTCTTTCAGACTTACCCTGAAGTAGTTCATATTTACTGTACAGTTTTAAATGTTTTAACTTCAGTTTGTAACTGTGCACTGCTAGTATATAGAATACAGTGGATTTTTGTGTGCAAATCTTGTTTGTTACAGTCTGTGCAGTTCACCGCGTTTGTGGATTCGTCTGTTTCTCCTTGCAGGTCTATCCATTTTCGCTTTGTTTTGAAACTCTATTGTTAGGTGCACAAGCGTTTAGTGTTGTTATGTCTTCCAGCTCAACCTCCTCCTCTGTTATGAAATTACCTTCTTTGTCTCTAGTAGTATCCTTCCCTCTGATACCTACTTTGTCTGATACAAACATAGCGTCTCTGTATTATTTAGATTAGGGTTAGCACGGCATATTTTTTCCATCCTTCTATTTTAACCTATTTTGTTTCATATTTAAAATCTATTTCTTATACATCTGTAACTTTAAATCCAGTCTGATAATCTCTGCCTTCCCATTGGGATATTTGGACCATTTACATTCAGTGTAATTGTTGATATACTTAGATTTACAACTGTCATACAGCTCATTGTTTTGTATTTGTCCCATACTCTTTGTTCCCTTTTTCTTCATTTTCTGACTTTCTGAATTCACTTAGTATTTCATTATCCCATTATGCCTTCTTTGTTGGCTTGTTAGCTGTAACTCTTTATTTTGCCTTGTCACCCAGCGCACCCCCCACCCCCCTCTCCTTCCAGCACCTCTTATCCCCCTGTGCCATCACCTGGCAGCCCAGGCCCAGAACTGGTTCCAGTCGCAGCCTGGTGTCTGCTCTCCAGCTCTGCCCTCAAGCATTCGCTGCAGTCCAGGCTGTCCTTGTACCTCCCCCTCGAGGGAGGGTGGCAGGAAGATGAGATGCTGCAGCACGATGAGATCCTGGACTGTTCGCCAGCCCCTGGGGTCTGGAGGGCAGCCTTTGTGTCTGGAAACAGTGAGTCACCCCTGTCAGGACCTAGCTCTCTGACCTGCCTCCTTCGCAAACTTTACAAATTATGTTGTTTAGTTTCTATGTTGAATAAGTCACTTTACGCATTTTACCGTGAGACGTACCACCCATGCATGAAAGCGCATGGAGCCAAACGTGCACTGTGATGAGTGATTGCTGAGCAGGTACCCTCGTGAGCCCCACCCAGGTCCGCTGATCAGAAGTGACCGGCGCCTGGGCACTTACTGGCTGCCCTCCCTTGGCCTCTGGAGGTAGCCAAGGCCTTTCTTCAGAGGCAACCGGGGCCTGAGTGCAGCTACCAGCCCCCTCAGGGGAGAGCTGCTTTGTGGCCCCATCCCTGCCCAGCTGTAGGGCTTCCACCAGCCCTCATGGCCGTCCTCCTGCAGATTAAGGCTTTGGCTCCAGGAATGAGCTGGGAGGTGGTCTGGGGTCTCCTTCAGCACTGATGATGTCCCCTCCCCCAGCCCCCGTAGGGCTGCAGCCCCCAGAGGCTTCACTCTCTTGCTAGCCCACACTCAGCATTCAGCAGTTTGTTAAAACATTTCCAGTCTTATCATCTTACCACCGGTTATGGGCTTCAGGTGAGCAAATCTCGATCCTACAGGCATCTGTCTGTCTGGATTTGGGGCTAGATGTTTGTCTTGTGGCCTCATTCTCTGATGGTTCCAAGAGAAGCTGTTAATTTGCACTTTGTACAGTTTTTCTTGTTCTGATGGGAGTGGTGCTCCTGGCACCCCACACCTCCAAGCTGAAACCCAGTCTGCTGGCATTCGGCTTCATCTCCTACCTGGCGACCTTGCTAGGCTGACTTTGGCTGTTGGTCCCAGTGGCTGTCCTAGCTGACAGTGGCCTCTTCCATCCCACCCTTGCTTCACATTCTCTCCCTTCCAGACTTAGCCAGGACATCCGGCAGCAAAGCTTCACCAGGTTAGGAAAGCTTGCTTCCATCTTCAGTCTGCTCAGAGTTTGTGACGTTAATAGGTGTTGAAACTGATCACACGTATTTTTTAACTGGTTGAGGTAGTTTTCTCCTTTAGTCTACTCATACGGCAGATTAGAATGACTGACTTTTCAATTTTGAAGGTCTTGCATTCACAGATGACGATTACTTTCTCATGTGTAATTTTTGAAGAACGTACTATTGAATTTTGGCGAGCTGATGTTTTATTTGGAATTTATTCATCCATGTTTGTAACTAGTGTGAACCTACTGCTTTGTTTTCTTGTTCTGCGCTCGGCACAGTGGGAATGGCCCTCCCCGCAGCTGGGCAGTGGCCAGAGCCCTGGCTGCCCTCGGCTGGCTTCAGAATTAAGCTCACACCAGCCTTCCGCCCTTTCCCAGTTCCTGGAGCAGCTCGACAGTGTGTCCGGAAGCTGGGTGCAGCCTCCCTGTGCGGCCCCGCCATCGGCG